CCTATCAATCTTAAGGATTTACAATACCCCAGTTTCCATAGTGTCTGAGCACTTCCTAATCCGTTCATCCTCAGGTAGGGAAGCACAGCTTTCCCCATTTTACAAATGGGAACTGGGGCCCAGAGAGACTAAGTGACATGCCCAAGGTCAGACAGGGAGTCGGTGTCAAAGCAGGGAACTGAACCCAGGTTTTCCAAGTCCCAGGCTGGACTGGGAGCAGGAATTGAAGCCCAGAAAGACAGCTGAGGAGTCCTAAAGTTTTTCCGCCTTTCTTGGGGCTCTCAGCCAAGCCGCTACTGCGGCACACAGGCAGCAGGCTGCCACTGACAGGGTTCCCAGACCTACCTAGTGGGAGCTGCTCAGATGTCATGAAGTTTGACCAATGAGCTACCTTTCTGGTCACACATGGGCGGAGTTAATTCAATCCCCCGCTCCAGTTTACTGGGCCTGCTGCTTCTCAGACTGTCCAGTTGTGTCCTGGGTTGTGCTTTGCTCAGGATTTTTCATACTGCTGCCCGATATTTCCTTGAAACACAGGTGCTCTCTATTGGCAAAATCTTCAGTCGGGGTTGCTCAGGTGTTCTGCTCTCTTGCACTGCTTTGCCAGCTTCTTTCCTGGAGCTTCCATGTTATGACTCACCCTCTCCTTCGCCTTTCATGGCCTGCAGGGATCGCTTTTTTTGTCCTGCTGAATCAAAGCATCAGGCAGTTTCTGCTGAGCTAGAGTTTGCCCTCATGGCCTCAGGACATCAGCTGTCTCATCTCCAGCTGGGGTGCCATTTCAGATTTTGGTAGTGGCAGGGGCAACTTTAACCATGATTCCAGGGACCACTTAGAAATTAGCTGACAGGAGCAAGGTGTCTAATTTCTATATTTTTCAAAAAGAGAATGAAATAAATATTAGACCCACTCAGCTCTAACAGGAGTTCTCACATCTTGTGTCAACTCACTTAAGGGACACTGGTTAGGTTTAAAATTTTAATGTGTACTCTGACTTTGTTACTAACGCTTGAAGACAACAATTGAAACAACTGTAGAAAAATCTAGATGACTTTCTATCCCTTTTTTGCAGTTCACCAAGCGTGGAACGGATCACTGAACTTTGGAAACAACCTACTAGGGCAAGGTCCTGTGAGTTTATACTGCACTTGCCTCAGGCTCTCGGGGTGTTACCCCACTGCGAATAATAGACGAGAAACTGACCTTATAAAGGAGAGAAACCGACACTTTCGAGTCACCTTTACAGTATTGCCAACCCCAAATGTTCAAAACCATGAATCAGGCCCATCAAAATTCATGAGATTTGCTTTGAAATCATGAGATTATGTAAAAATAAGCTTTGCAGTTAATAGCTTTGCAGTTCTTTTTATTTGCCTTCTGCTCTTTGAGCTTGGGGGGTCTCATTTTGAAGCTTTCTCCACAGCCACGAGGGCTAGAAACTTTGTTTTTCTTTACGACCGAAGGCTGAACTCACACATCCACCTGACTCCAGGAGCTGGGGCTTGAAGGAAAACAATCAGTGTCATGAGACTCATGACAAAATCACGAGAGTTGCCAACACCGCTTTGACTTCTGTTTAAAGGCTAGTTACTTTCCAGTAGGCTCTTAAACACAACACGCCAGTGATTGAGTTGCGGTTCTCACAGGAGAATATTTGAAACCAAGCACCAAGAAAAGTCCACATTTTAAAGCTGAGGGAAAAATGGAGACTTCTGCGGGTATTTCAGGGCCACAGTATGCAGGAAAGGAAAATAAACAGGCACAGGAGATCTGGGCCGCTCTTTGTCGTGAAAGAAAGTTGGAGGGTTGAATCTTCTAGTTCTTAATCAAGTAAAACTTCTGTTGACATCAGCACCTCCACTCACAGATATTAACATGTACTCAATAACTATACACTTCATACTTAAATATCTGAGCCATCTTCTCCAGGACAAATCGGTGAGACATTGTGAGGCACTCAGATGCTAGGGTGATGGGACCACATAAGTACCCCAGGTAGAGTGGGAACCTCTCTGTACCACTGCTGGCCCTTCCCTGGGTTTTGGCCCCTTCTTTTCACTTATCCCCCTCAAATCTTCCTCTTTTCAGAATATAACTGTTAGGATATAGATATTCAGGCCTGTCTGTAAAGGCCTATACTCTAAGAATTTAGGTGTATTCTTATCACTTGGCTAGTGATAGAGGTATAAAAGAAAGAAAGAATCAAAACCACTGTCTGCCAGTGTAAGGGCCTTCTCTTACTGTGACAGTTTGTGGCCCTGTGCTTAGGCTCAGGCCTTTGGCTAAGCAGCAGAGGCAGCCATAAGCTGGGAAGCGACCGGTCACATCCTCACATTCCAAACTAGTCACATTGAAATAAGGTGCTATTGGGCTGTTAGGCACTATCAGGACAGGATTGTATTCCTATCACCTCCAGAGGAAGGGAAGTGCCTAGAAAATGTAAAAGGAAACTTAGTTTGATAGCATCCTGTCTGGCAAGAACTCACTTATCAATAGCTGGGATGTGAAATCCTCACTTCTGTATTGTTTTGTCATTATAGTTCCCACTTTGCTGTTGTTTGTCTGTATAATCTCTGTCTGGTTCTGTGATTGTTCCTGTCTGCTGTATAATTAATTTTGCTGGGTGTAAACTAATTGAGGTGGTGGGATATAATTGGTTACATAATCATGTTACAATATGTTAGGATTGGTTAGTTAAATTTCAGGAAAATGATTGGTTAAGGTATAGCTAAGCAGAACTCAAGTTTTACTATATAATCTGTAGTCAATGAGGAAGTGACGGGGTGTGGGTGGGGGTGGGCATGTGGGTGTGTGAGATGGGAACAGGGAATGGGGGTAAGAAAATTGGAATCATGTTTTGCTAAAGGGGGAAATGGGAACAGGGAATGGGAGTAAGGAAGTTGGAATCATGTTTGGCTAAGGGCAGGAATGGGAACAGGGACACAGGTGTAAGGCTCTGTGGTGTCAGAGCTGGGAAGGAGGATACTAAGGAAGGAAACTGGAATCATGCTTGCTGGAAGTTCACCCCAATAAACATCGAATTGTTTGCACCTTTGGACTTCGGGTATTGTTGCTCTCTGTTCATGCGAGAAGGACCAGGGAAGTAAGTGGGTGAAGGAATAAGCCCCCTAACAATAACCTTGGCTCTTCTGAGTCCCCTGCATTCTCTCTCCAACATCCCCACCCCTTGCAGAGGGATTCCTGTTTTACAGGCAATTACCAGCCCTTTCTGATCTTAAATCACCCTGCCTCTGTTTGGAAACAAAATACTGACTCCCTGCCCCTGGAGCACCTGTCCTCTGCAGAATTCACGTTAACGCCCATGCTGCAGTTAGGAGCTCTGACTGGGCTCATACCTCCTGTATGAAAGTCGCCCGCCTGTACCCCAAATGGTGCCCCTACAGATAGCTTGCAATTCCTCTCTTGTTAGGCATTCCTGATGCAACAAGAAACTGTTCAAAAATACCCGACTTTCTAGAGATGTTATGGGAAACACTGACTAACCACTGCCCTACAACTCTCCAGTTACAAGCTCTCTGCTTTAATTCCCCTCCCACTGCTAGGTCTTCCTTTCAGGCAGCGGTGGCTTCTCTCGCCCCGCACAGCCCTTTCCCCAATCTCCAAAATGCGGCTGTTTCTGGCTTTGGGTTTGCAGCCCTGTTTCACTGCAGAGGCATGTCCCAAGGGACTTATTTTGTCTCCCTATTCAAGCTGGAGGGGGATTTCATCCCAGATTCTCAAAGGTGCTAAACTCCCACGTGCTTGGTTACAATCAGTGGGAATTAGGTGCCTCAAACCTTTGCGGATCTGGGCCTTCCTCTGTCTTCTTCCTGCTCAGCCTTTTCTGGGGGCTGCTTGGGTGCTCAAAGGTGAGGACCACAAACCCTCACACTGCAGAGGACTCTCACTTCATCTCTCCTCCTTTATTCCTTTTCCATTGCCTCTCTCTGTCTGGAGAGATGGGGTCCATTCAGTTCCTGGCGCAGGCAGGAACAAGGGGCACAGAGCTCAGAGCTTTATTACAGGCAGCCTGGTACTGAGTTAGTATAGTTAACTCTTTCAGTGCCTTACAACACCCCCCCACCATTGCACCCTGTGAATCCACACACTAGCTAATTCTCTCCAGTGTCTCCCCGAGTGTAGCTTAGTGCTCAGCGACAGAGACCGCAACAGAGCTGGTGGGGTGGCCCATCGTTTTTAAAAGTTCTCCAAAACAGAGACAAATGTGGTGCTAGGAAGCAGGACTTCTTGGGTTCGAAGACCAGCTCTGTTACTGACGTGCAGTAACTTCCCCTCTTCCCCTCTCTCTCTACCTCAGTTTCCCCATTTGCAAAATGAGGTTAATGATATTGATCTACCTCAAAGGGGTGTAGTGTGGGCCAATTAACTCGGTAACTTATGCAGAGGGCTTAAAAAATATGCAGTTGTCACGAATCTGATCTCAGTGACCCTGGTGTAAATCCAGAGCGACCCCGCTGAAGTCAATGGAAGCAGGGCCCGATTCTGATCTCAGTTACTCCAGTGTAAATCTGGAGTGACTCCACTAAAGGTAATAGTCACGACCTGATTATGGTTTCAGTTACCCAGCTGCGGATCCAGAGTGACTCTAATGCAGTCAGTACAGTCAGGGCTGGATTCTGATCTCAGTGATCCTGGTGTAAATCCAGAGTGAATCCTCCGCTGAGGTTAGAATGTGTCCCACAGTCTGCTGATTAAATCCCCGTATCTATAACGGCACAGTCTGTTAAACAGCCGTGATCCAAACCAGGCATATTTGGGAGAGAGAGAGAGAGAAACACCACACTGATCTCTGGACAGGGGATGTCAGATGTGAGTACAGTGACAGGCAATACAGAGGCGAAATTGCCACCTAACCAGCACCCTGATTGGACAGGGTGATCTCACTAAAAGAGCAGGAATCAGGAAGTGTTGGAGGGTGTGTGGTGTAATGGGGCGGTCTCCTGCAGCCTGAGTCCTTCCCACTTCTCAGGGGGCAACAATCTCTTTGCTTCCCGTGGCACTCAGCACTGAACTGCAGTTTCCTGACTCTCTCTGCTGACCAGGAAGCTGCATGGAGGCCCCTGGGAGAAGTGATCTGCTGAGGAAGCTGAAAGCCCTGGGCAAGGAGGAGTTGGAGGGGTTCAAGGATAAGCTGAGTGAAGTCCTGCTGGAGAGGGGATCTGAGCCCATCCCCGTAACACCAGCTGACCCAGCAGCCCTAACCGACCTGCTGCTCAGACACTGCAGAGGGGACTCAAAAGTGTTTCTGAAAGTCCTGGAAGATGTTGAAGCCAGACTCCGGAAAGGTAAATCGAGAGCTGCCTCGATTGCTCTTCACTTGAGTTACAACACATGCACATACATCTTCTACAGGGTTAGCTGATAGGCCCCCGTGGGCCCAGGTGCAGTGGTTTATGGGCAAGCATCCCAGACAGACATGCCAAACCCACACAAAAAAAAAATGCAGAAATTTGGCTTGTTTTTGGCTTAATTGGCTGGTGAGTTGCTTGTTAGCTGGTTTTTGGCTTGTAACTTGTTGCTTGTGGCTTCTTCTTTTTTGATTGGCTCCCAGCAAGCAGGAGCAAGGGTGGGAGAGAGTCGGGGTGCACAGTGGGCCCACCCCAGTCTCAGACTGCACCCTGGGGGGATCTAGTCACATAGAGTGTTGGGGTTCTTAGGGATTGGCTTGTTTTGGCCTTGTTTTGAAATGGGATTAGCTTGATTTTTGGCTTATTGTGAAAGTCGGGATGCTTATTTACTGCGTAAAAGTTGGCACCTGTGATTCCAGAGTGCCCTGGGCCTGGCTGACTTTTTTTTTGCATGGCCTTATGGGAGAACTTGTCTGCGTAAGGGCAGAGAGTGGGAGAGCTGTGGATGGAAAGGTCAAATGAGTAACAGCTCCCATGATCCAGCCTTCTTCTGCCTGTTCCAGAATTCCACTTTCCCATGATGCTTGTGAGTATGGGTTATTCACTTGAGAGCAGGGGTGCTGCCCAAACCCTGATGGAGATTGGGGGCGGGGCAGTTGTGCCGGGCCCTGGACAGACACGCTGAGAGACAGTCCCTGCCCCAGAGAATTTCCTATCTAAACAGACAGGGCAGACAATGGGAGGTTAATAATGGGGATCAGAGGCCCAGACAGTCAGTGACTTTCCCCAAATGTCACATGGGTCTGTGGCCAAACTGCAAATGTAACCCAGATTTCGTGGGCCCTTTGCTAGTTCCTTAACCACAAAACCAGCCTGCCATCTTATCAGGATAGGGGCCCTGCATGAAGGGTGGATTTGATTTAAATCAAATTGATTTAAATCACTAGTCAGGAAGACTCCATTTAATCATGGCTTTCTACACAAAAGTGCATTCTGGTTGGTTGTTATAACCTTAATACATATTCTTCACAACTCAGAGATAGGTGTAGGTTTCATTTTTAGAAGGTACACACTGTACATTTTTTAAGTGATTTATTTTGAAAACTTTTCAGATGAGTTTTACAGCCATATGAGAAAATGAATGATTGTTTGGTTATTTCATTTACCAAAGGTAATTGAAGCAGATATTTATGAAGTCATTGGGAGGTGAACTATCTCCAATTCAACAGGTTAATCAATATTTGGAGGATTTTTTTGCCATGCTGTATTAGGAGGAGAACACCATCAGACAGACATTTAAATTGTTTTATTTAACTAAAACAACAAAGTTAAGTATTCTGGATTTTTTTCTTCAACATCAGACATATAATATTTTAACAAAACAAGCATATGTCCCTCGCTTCTCACATTTCTCTCCAGACTTCTTCTCCTTGTCCAGATCTATTCTGCCCCCAACAATCTTCTATTCATTGAACTTTTTGAAACTTTGCACTTTTAGAGAGAGGTAAGGGATTGACTGTGTGTACACAAATTTGCAGAGGGACAATAGAGTTGAGGTCTGTTATTTCTCACCTCTATATATTTATTTATTTAAAACATTTTTGCCATTAACAAGCATGTTACCCCTGGATATGCAAATCCACAGTTTGAGAACTGCAAAACTAAGCATCTCTGACGGTATCTTCCAGACTGAGCACTGAGTCTCAGTGGGTAGATAGAAAGAGTAACCTAAATAATCTCTACAGAAGCCTGTGGAATCCCATAATATTGGTTCCCTAATCCATGAACTATTGGAACTCATTTACAAAACTTTTCTAAAACATTATATGAATATATTGTCTCATACTATAAAATAAAAATTTATAATCCCTATTCCATGATAAGATACATTATAGCTCAAAGATATTTCAATTAAAACTATCTTTAGATAGGTTTTTTCTTCAGAAAGCCCTTTATCAAAAACATCCGATTTTTTTAAATTTTATTTTTTTAAAATCATTGATTTTTATCCACCCTGCCTGCATGTATAGGAGTATTTCCTCTTTTGTAGCAAATGTTATACAAGTGAGATTTCAGTTCTCAGTGGCTGACACTCTAACTCTCATTTTGCTCAGTCCTTATTCAGACGAATCCGAGTGGAATTTAGTAAAGGGAAGCTACTGGTCTAGTGGATTGTGGGGGCTGAGGGTCAATGGAACTAGAGTATAGCCTGCCAAAATTATATGACCACAGTGAGCTGCAGCTCACAAAATCTTATGCTCAAATTAATTTGTTAGGTGCCACAAGTACTCCTTTTCTTTTTGCAAATGTTTTAAAGATTCCTTCTTTTAGCTCATTCCTCCTTATCTTAAGCTTTTGTTTCCTTCTGCTCTTAAAGCTTGAAGTGCCCCGTCTTGCTTTGTGTTGTAATTGACACCTCTGCTCAGGTGACAGATGAAGTGAGCTGTAGCTCAGGAAAGCTTATGCTCAAATAAATTTGTTACTTTCTAAGGTGCCACAAGTCCTCCTTTTCTTTTTGAGAAACTATCTGCTGTATCATCATCAGCAGTGTAAACAGCTATTATCCATGTGAATGGAGAACTGATTTGACAGCACCAGGCAGCAAGGAAGTTTCCCTTCTTTCTCCTTGCAGAGCCTTGGAAACATAACTGATATAAACCAACTACTAGGAGTAGACTTGATCTAGTGTTGTTCCTAAAGATCTCAGGTTATTCTGGTCCTGTGTGGAAAAATAGTTTTTTTTGGGTGGGGGGGAGGTTGCTGAAAAATTCTGAAAAATCGGGGCTGGGGGATTCCTTTTGCATCAAACTGAAAATTTAATACATTAATGGCAACCCCAAAAATGTAAAAATGTTCATTTTAGGTTTGTTTTGACTTGAAACTTTGTTTCACTTTTGGCTGTTTTAAAGCGTTTTTTGATTGCTTAAAAAAAAAAAATTAAAGGACGCTGGAAACAAAAAGTTTTGTTTTGAAGTGAAAAATCAAAATGTTTCCAATATGTCAACGTGAAATATTTCAGATTTCTTTGGAGTTTCTTTTTAAAGGTTTTTTTTCTAAATGAACAAGTCAGCCAAACTGATACCAATTCACAGAACATTTTGGTGTGGCCTGAAGCTGAATATATATATATTTTTTGGGGGGCTGACAAAAAGTCATATGAAAATTTTTTATCCATCTCTAGTCCTGGCCTGTTTTTACCTTTCAAGTTCACTCTCTCCTAAGTCTCTCCCACAGCTTCCAGCCACCCACAACAAGCGCAGAAGCCATCCACTTGCACTAAAGCAGGAGATTCAGGTGAGTTGTGCTGAGCACACGAAAATCTGGCCCTGTGGTCTGTTGTATCTCTTTATCCCAAGCTCATGGTGGAGGTACCGGAGTATCTTACAGAGCTGTGTGTCTGTCATGTAATGCTAATCTTTGGCTGTCTCCCTCTCTGTCTGTCTGGGTGTCGGGGGGCTAGAAGAGCGTCACTCCAGGGTTACAGAGTAGCAGCCGTGTTAATCTGTATCCGCAAAAAGAAAAGGAGTACTTGTGGCACCTTAGAGACGAACAAATTTATTTACTGTATGCATCCGATGAAGTGAGCTGTAGCTCATGAAAGCTTATGCTCTAATAAATTTGTTCGTCTCTAAGGTGCCACAAGTACTCCTTTTCTTACTCCAGGGTTAGTGCGCTCTCCCTGATCTGGGAAGCCAACTCTCTAGTACCTCTCCATAGAGAACTCCTCTTCTCTCTCTTATCTTTAGGACCAAAGAGCCACTTCATGCATTCAGGCGATGAGATTCCCCCTGGTGAAGGAGGGACACTAGCATCTGGTGAGTTGAGAATCGCTCAGGGTGATGACAGGGGCCCTGGGGGAAATTCACTGCTGTGATGGACTGTGACAGCCTCAGGGCTGTATGTTGGACCTAAGTCATTGCGGGGGTTTGGGCCTGTTTGATTTTTCCCCTCAGGGAGGGGCCACATGGGGGTTGTTGTCTGATTTTAGGAGGTTAATATTATTAATTTGGATAGTATGGGTTATAGGCTCGCTAATCAATCTGATCAGAAGATAACAAGGTTCTTGTCCCAGAATCTGGCTACACAAAATATGCACAGGACCCTCGGGGGCATGACAAGACGCTCACACCGAGACCAATATAGTCTTAAAGACTTTTACTGAGATAAAAAGGAATTATAATCAAATAGTAATCAAATGGTAAAATAACCAGAGTTACAAATGTGATACTATTATTTTAAATATACATATGATATTATATACTATAAAATTTTTGATTAATATACTCACACCATTCCTGGATGACCTGGTTATAAGAGACCAAGGACCAGCCTCGCCTCGGGTTCTTCAATTCTTTTGAGTGGGAGGTGCAGATCTTAGCTCCACCTTCTTTTAAGAGCTATTGAAGCTGACTTAGAATTTCACTTAACTAACAGACTAATAAACTAAGAAAGATGCCTGAAGCTTAGATTCGTAGACACTTAGATTATATTAGATAATGGTGTATTGTAGCATGGTGTGTCATCCCTTTTATAGGACATGGGTGCTTGAGCCCTCCTATGTCCAAACTTAGTTTCCTCACCCACCAAAATGTTGGGGTACACTTACTCCATGGGCTGATATGTGTGTACGTATTGATGACATTTACGTACATATTAATGACATTAGATCATTCACACCTTTGTTATTTTTGTTCTCCTGGTTATTTCGGTTCTTTCCTTGTGGTGTACCTGTTTACAGAGGGCATGAACTTCGGAAAGCCCCTATGCCCCCCTGCTTCAACGCATCCTTTATCTATCTAAGTTAAAGGTCGCTACCATATATGGACCTTATGCTTTAACTTATCATTATCTATCTAGGTGAAAGCATACATATGTCTGGGACCTAACTTTGCCTTCGCATAACATATAGGGTGTGGCCTGTAGGTCTCTTGTGTTACAGCCAAACTACTTTAATATACATCTATAAACTTATTATAATAAAACAAACAATCAAAACTATAAGAAAGGAGATACAGGCAAGCAAGGTAGCCTTATAGGCTACAGGGTTGATAGAGGAAAGCAAAACCTGGGGTTGGCTTCCTGGAGTAGGTGCTAAATTTCATTCCCCTTTTCCTTACAAAACATGCAACTTAAAGAGCATTTCAGTGTTGGGTGGATGATCTCTGTGTGGAATGGCTGCTATCCAGCTGATATGCCCCACCCCAGAGGTGGCTACGTTTCAGTGTATGGGTGAATAATATTTTCTGCATGCACAAGAATCATAGTTCCTTCACATATACATATAGACTGGCCTCATCTGGAATACGGTTTTACTGCATGTTCACTTTCTTTTTTCTTACTGTAACAGGTTGGTGAGAGACCCTCACAGGAAATAAACACTTCAGGTCAGCTTCTGATCTCCGTTACCCCAGTGTAAATCTGGCTTTGGCTCCAGTGAGATCAAGATAGTTATTCTGGATTTACACCAGGATAAGTGAGATCAGAAGCTGCCCCTAACCTCATTAATTTCAGCCGAGTCCCTCTGGATTTACACCAGGGTTGCTGAGATCAGAATCTCTCCCTAACCCAATTGACTTCAGTGGGGTGGCTCCAGATTTAGCCAGATTCATAATGCCTTTATATAAATCAATGGTGTGGCCTCACTGGGGATACTTTGTGCAGTCCTGGGCACCCCATCTCCAAAGGGATATTGCAGGAGTAGAGGGGGGGTCACAGGCAGGTGATAACAATGATCAGGGAGCCTGGGAAAACTCTCCTATGGAGAGAGATTGAAAAGACTGGGATTGTTACATTAGAAAGGAATGAATAAGAGGGGACATGATAAAAATATGTAAAATAACAAAGGGCATGGAGAAGAGAGATCAGGAGCTTCAGTTCTCCTCTCCTCCTAACACAAGAACAAGGGGCCATTCGATGACATTGGAAGATGGCCAATTCAAAACCGATGAAATGAAATCCTTTCCATATAAGGTGTAATTAGCTGGTGGAACTTACTGCCACAGGAAGTCACTGAGGCCAAGAATTTAACAAGATTCAAGAAGGGATTTAAGATCTATTCATATGGATCACAAGAATATCCCGAGTTAGCATAATTCCTAATGATATATATTTTGTAGGGGATATTGAGCCTCCTGCTTCAGGGTTTAAGCCAGTCTCTATTAGAGACCAGGATGAGACTATGTGGGAGACAGATTATCCAACATCTGTGACTACAGGGTTCCTACACCTGCCTCCAAAGCACCTGATGCTGGCCACTGCCATAGGACACTAGGCTAGATGAATCCTGTGTTCTTACCTGTGAGAAGCACTCTGGGCCAAAAGGTGCTAGGGACCTGCGTTAGATATTCATATTGATTTATTCATACTGTAATTCCACACTCCGCAGCGATTGCCTTCATGAAGAGGCATCTTTCCTTCACTGGCTCCAAGGCCGAAGCTGCAGGTGAGTGAGGCTGAAATTGACCGGGCGAAGTGGGGTAATTTGAGGGGCCTGAGTGCATAGAATCCAGATGCTGCCTTGGCCTGCTGCGTGGACCATCCGCACAACGTCCCCCTTTAGCCGCGCTGGATTTAATCTGTTGATTGCTGGCACCGTCATCAGGCTGCCTTTCTTCCCTGCACTGATTGGCTGTTGGTTCCGATCTCTCCCTCACGCTCTCTTCCCCTCCACATCTGCTCCTCACCAGGGGTGAAAGTAACTTAAAGGACTTACCGGTACTCCGGAGTCCTGAGCAGGGGCGCGTGGCCTCAACCGGCAGAGGCGGGGCCGGGCCCTTTAAATCAAGATTTAAAGGCCTTAGGGCTCCGGCTGTGCCTGGGAGCCCTGGGGCCTTTAAATCACCCCAGAGCTACCAGCTGCAGAGGCGGCTGGGAGCTCAGGGGCGATTTAAAGGGCCCTGAGCTGTGGCCACTGCTACCGCAGCGGAGCTCCGGGCCCTTTAAATCACCGCCGGAGCCCTGCCGCCGCTACCCCAGCGGCTCTGGAAGCGCTTTAAAGGGCCAGGGGTTCCGGCGGCTGCAGGGAGCCCCAGGCCCTTTAAAGCACCAGCTTGGGGAAGCCGGTCAGGTCCCGTCACGGTGTACTGGCTCTTGACCGGTATGCCGGACCGGACCGGACCAGCTTGCTTTCACCTCTGCTCCTCACACCCTCCTCCATCACCCGCTCCCCTGTTCCCTTTCCCTTTGTCTCTTTGTTTAGCTAATCTCTACCTACATTTTTTTTTTTTTAATTTTTAATATCCTCCAGGCTGCAGAATCTGCCTCTGCTCTGGTCTCATTTGCTTTTCACCAACCCCAAAAAACCCCAATGGCACTGAAAAACTAATCCCCTGCAGAATGTGTTACTTGAAATAATATCTCCCTGTCTGCTGCAGGAAAACAAAGCAGGAAGGAGGATCCCACTGGGGACAGCTGGGGAACGGACAAATGCAAACTGTGTCCCAGGGAGGAGGTAAGGGATTAGGTGTAATTTTTTCCCCTTGCTCATTGTCCGTCAGTCTCTTTCCCTTCTCTGTGGTTTCTGGCTGTGATTTCACCCTCGGAGCTGAGCCAGGGGTATTCTAACACCTCCACTGTTTAGATCAGAGAAAGTTTATTTAGGCGGGATTGTGCCTGGTGGGCCAGTCAGGTGATGGCAAATGGAGGAATCGGAAACTATTTAAGGATATGTCTTCACGGCAGAAATTCTTAATTACTGTTATTTATTAGGTGTATTACGGTAGCCTGTAGGAGCCGGGGTTATGAACCAGGACCCCATTGTGCTGGACTCTGTATATTATTTATTAGGTGTATTACGGTAGAGCTCCAGACATGGACCACAGAACAAAGAGCGTTCAACTCGGGTTAAAATAGCAGCGTAGATATGGCCATTCAGCTTTAGATTCAGATCAGCAGCTCACGTTCAACCCTGGCTGCCCTGTAGGCTTCAACGCGAGCTACTAACCTGATTTAAAAGCCGAGGTACTGTGTGTTTGCCGCTGTTTTTACCTGTCGGCTAACCCAAGTTAATACAACACCTTGTCTTTGCAAGGAAGACGTGTTCCCCGTGTGCCTTTGTCAGTGTCTGTCTGTTGGGGTACGTCTACACAGCAGCTGGGCGGTGTGATTTTCAGCTTGGTGGACGGACGCATACTGGCTCTGCTTCAGCTCATGCCCCAAAATGGTCATGTGGCCGCGGATCTTGGGCGAGATTGTATTCGGGCTAGCCTGTGTTGCCACAGTGTTACTTTTTAGGCCCCCGCTGCTGTGTAGACTTAGCCTGAGCCTGTAATATCATAGATTCACAGATTTTTTTTAAGGCCAGAGAGGACCATTCTGATCATCTAGTCTGACCTCCTGCATAACCCAGGCCAGAGACCCTAACCCAGTAATTCCTGCATCAAGCCCATAACTTCCGTTTGCACTAAAGTGTAGCTTTTAGAAGACATCCAGTCTTGAGGGAAAGATTGCAGTTGATGGAGAATTCACCACACCCCCTAGGTCAGTAGTTATTCCAGTGGCCTTACGTATAGTCTGAATTTGTCCAGCTTCAGGTTCCAGCCACTGGATCTCATTGTGTCTTTCTCTGCTAGATGATCAGAATGTAGACTGGGGAGAGCGGGGTTGGAAACCCGCTCTCCCCTTCAAGCACGTCTAAAGGGATCATGTCAGTTGCATTTATTAAATGCTGGGTTTCAGATCTCTCTCATAATGCATCATCAGAATGGGCAGTGCACACACCATTTCCCTTCATCTTTTGGTGTCTGCTGTGCTATTTGTAACAGAGCCTGTTTTTACATCAGGAGTCTGGCCAAATGCAGGTCAGAGGCCAAATCAGTTGTTTACATGCAGCTCTTCTTAGCTTCAGTGGGAGATATTCATGTAACTAAGGGAATAGCTGAGCCCTGGATTGAATGACTGAATCGATCCGGAGTAGTCCCATCTCTCCTGGCAGAGGTGTTTATCTCACCCACCTCAGTGCAGCCGGTAGCTTAGAGAGACGATTCATGACTCTACAGAACCTCTCTTCCTGCAATCCAGAGTGTGATCACACCTGACAGTTGTCAGAGAGGATCCCACCTCAACTAGCTAAAGATAACCAGGCATCGTAGTTGTGACCTGGGGCATCTTGGTCACCTGGGAAGCATCCGACCGTGGAGCTGGAATTCAGCTGATCACTGAGTCCTCTCTGCCAAATGCACTGCAAGGGTCCCAGGCCACAGCAACAGCTCCCAGCTGAATACTAGGCTACAGCAGACAAGATTCCCTCCTCACAAGAGCTCTGAAGTGGGAAATCCCCAGTGATGCTGAGTTAATGCCAGTTCCTGTGTTTTAGGATCCTCCAGAAGAAATACACCCTGAGACTGTTCGGGGCACAGATGGGAACCAGGAGATGTACAGGTGAGGACTGGGGCTGGGAGGTTGAAGTCACCCCCTCTGCAGGCGTCTCTGTCTGTGTGCAGAGGCCAGCTCCTATCGCACCTGAGACCTTCTCCACACTAGAGAATTTCATAATAAAATTCTCACTGGCGCTAAACCCCATTTATTTGCCCCCGAGGGAACGGTGACCTAGACAAGGTTCTTCTGGCTTTCGGTGTGTCAATTAAATAAGCAGTGAAATTATCGAGGGATACATGGCAATAACCACAGGAATGGTGACCGTGATTGTGAAAGGCTCAGGCAGATTAGAGAAGCTACAAAGGCAGAAAACGCAATAATAATGGGGGATTTCAACTACCCCCTTACTGACTGGGTACGTCACCTCAGCACAGGAGGCTGAGATAAAATTTCTAGACCCCGTAAATGACTGCTTCGTGGGACCGACCGGGGGAGAGGCAATTCTTGATTAAGTCCTAAGCGGCGCACAGGATGTGGTCCAAGAGGCTAATATAGCTGAACTGCTCGGTAATAGCAACCATAATATAATTATGTAATTAAATTTAACATCCTTGTAGGGGGAGAAATGCCAGAGAAACCCACCACACTAGCAGTTAACTTCAAAAAGGGGAACTACACAAAAATGAGGAAGCTTGTTAAATTAAAAGGAATAAGGGTAAAATGCCTACAAGTTGCATGGAGACTATGTTAAAAACACAATAATAGAGGCTCAAACTAAATGTATACCCCCAAATAATAAAAATAAAAAAACCCCAAACAAAGAAACAAACAAAACCCAGAGGACCAAAAATGCCACCATTTGTAAACAGCAGAGTAAAAGTGATGGTTAGAGGCAAAAAGGCATCCTTTAAAATCTGGAAGTTAAATCCTTCTGAGGAAACTAAAAAGTCTGGCAAGTCAAGTGTAAAAGTATAATAAAGCAGGCCAAGAAAGTTTTTGTGTCCTTAGCTAGTTGCTCTTCAAATTCTAACAGCAAAATTGTTTTTAAGTACATCAGAAGCAGGAAGCCTGCCAAACCGTCAGTGGGGTCCCTGGACGACCGAGGTGCTAAAAGAGCACTCAAGGAAGACAAGTCTGTTGCAGAGAAGCTAAATGAATTCTTTGCATTGGTTTTTACTACAGAGGATGTGGGGGAGGCACTCACCTCACAGCTGTTCTTTTTGGGTGACAAATCTGAAATACCGTCCCAAATTGATGTGTCAATAGAAGAGGGTTTAGAACAAGCTGAAATCGAAGCAGTATTAAGTCACTGGGACCAGGCTGTATTCATGCAAGAGTTCTGAAGGAACTCAAATATGAAACTGCAGAACTACTAACTGTGATATGTAATCTATCGCCAAAATCTGCCTCTATCAGAGGATAGCTAATGTAACACCTACTTCTAAAAAAGGCTCCAGAGGTGATCCTGGCAATTACAGGCTGGTAAGCCTAACTTCAGTACTAGGCAAATTGATTGAAACTATAGTAAAGAGCAGAATTATCAGATACATAGATGAACATGATATGTTGGGGAAGAGTCAACATGGGGAATCACGCCTCACCAATCAGTTAGAATTCTTTGAGGGTGTCAACAAGCACGTGGACAACGATGATCCAGTCAATATAGTGTTCTTGGACTTTCAGAAAACCTTAGACAAGGTCTCTCACCAAAAGCTCTTGAGCAAATTAAGAAGTCATGGGATAACAGGGAAAGAGCTCTCATGGATCAGTAACTGGTTAAAAGACGGGAAACAAAGAGTAGGAATAAATGATCAGTTTTCGCAATGGAGAGATAAATGGTGGGGTTCCACAAGGATCTGTACTGGGTCCTGTACTGTTCAGTATATTCATAAATGATCTGGAAAAGGGGGGGTGAACAGTGAGGTGGCAAAATTTGCAGATGATACAAAATTACTTAAGATAAGTCCAAAGGTGACTGCGAAGTTACAAAGGGATCTCACTTGACTGGATGACAAAATGAGAGATGAAATTCAATGTTGATAAGTGCAAAGCAATGCACATTGGAAAACATAATCCCAGCAATACATACAAAATGAAGGGGTCTAAATCAGCTGTTACCACTCAAGAAAGAGATCTTGAAGTCAGTGTGTGTAGTTCCCTGAAAACATCTGCTCAGTGTGCTATGGCAGTCAAAAAAGCTAACTGAATGGTAGTAACCATTGGGAAAGGAATAGATAATAAAACAGAAAATATCACAATGCCACTATATAAATCCATGGTAGGCCCACACCTTGAATATTGCATGCAGTTCTTGTTGCATCATGTCAAAAAAGATATATTAGAATTCAAAAAGGTATGGAAAAGGGCTACGAAAATGATGGGGAGTTTGGAACAGTTTCCATATGAGGAGAGATTAAGAAGACTGGGCATGTTCACCTTAGAAAAGAGATGACTAAGTGGGGATATAATAGATGTCTGTAAAATCCTGAATGGTGTGGTGAAAGTGTTATTTACCCCTTTACATAACGCAAGAACCAAGCGTCACTCAATGAAAGTGATAGGCAGCAGGCTTCAAACAAACAAAAGGAAACTTCTTCACACAACGCACAGTCAACCTGTGGAACTTGTTGCCAGGGGATGTTGTGAAGCCCAAAAGTATAACTGGGGTAAAAAAAAATCAGATAATTTTGTGGAGGATAGGTCTGTCAATGGCTATTAGCCAAGAGAGTCAGGGACACAGCCCTGCTCTGAATGTCCCTAAACCTCCAACTGCCCAAAGCGGGGACTGGGTGATGGGATGGATCATTTGCAATTGCCCCTGTTCTGTTCATTGCCTCTGGTACAGGTCACTATCAGAAGACAGGACGCTAGGCTAGATGGACCGTTGGTCTGGCCCAGTATGTCCGTTCTTATGTTCTTGTAGTGGTTCCTCCTTGTCAACCTTGGAGGGAGGCCACTCCGCCTTGCTATGCCACCTAGCGGCCGATAGCCAACTGACAAGGGATTAGTGTGATAAGGGTCAGAAAAGAGTCTAGGGCCTGGCTCCTTTGGCAGGGCAGCAGAGCGGGCAGTCTTTTAGCCCAGCTCCCTGGCTGGGGCAGACAGCAAACAATCAGGCTCAAGCCCTCTGGGTGGAGCAGAGCAGTAGCAATCTACAGTAAACACAGACAAGCCATCCGGCCTAAATTGAGTAGGCTGCCACCCCGGGGTGGGGTTGGCAGTAGGGGGACCCGGGCCCACTCTACTGCACCGGGTCCCAGTCCAGCACCCTACCAGTGGTGAGTGGTCCCTCCAGTGGGTCAGCAGGGGTTCTACTGAAACATGCTGACTGTGGTTTCAGCAACACAGCCAGACTTATGTCTGGTTTCAGAGTAGCAGCCGTGTTAGTCTGTATCCGCAAAAAAGAAAAGGAGGACTTGTGGCACCTTAGAGACTAACAAATTTATTTGATCTTAAGCTTTCCAATGAAGTGAGCTGTAGCTCATGAAAGCTTATGCTCTAATAAATTTCTTAGTCTCTAAGGTGCCACAAGTCCTCCTTTTCTTTTTGCAGACTAATGTCTGATTTCCCTGGGCTACTTCCTACCCCTACCTGTTCGTAGGGCTCAATTGCTTGCAGATCCTCAATCTCCTTGGGGTACTCGGCAGCTGGCAGTTCCGGCGGCTCCTGGGGTTATTCCTCCAGTGGCAATCCTGGCGACTCCTCAGGGTATTCAGCCAACGGCAGCCACCGCAGTTTTCCCTCCCTCAGCGTCCTGCTCCAAGGGCAGGGGTTGGCACAGCTTGGTCCCTGGTCCCGGGCCCAGCAGCAAGTCCGACTCCTTCCCTGGCTCCGGCCAACTGAGCTGGAGGCCCCGGTTCTTATGCTTCCTGTTCTGCCCCTCTGTTTCTGGCATGAGGGGGCGGCCCGGCCTGGCTCTGCCCACCAGAGGATGGGGAGTGGTTCCCCCTGTCAGCCTTGGAGGGAGGCCACTCTGCCTCGCTACAGTTCTTATGAGAGCAACCGAGTTAGTCCAGGAAATGTGGGCTGGTTCCATCTTTTCTTTTATTTTTTCCCTCCCCGCACTGTGCAGGGTTCACCTCCCCGGGGCAGGCTCATTCCGTTGCTCTGAAACCGAACTGGGGTTTGAGGCGAGGGCAGCCGTTACTGTCCAATACAGATACGGCTTCTGGGATCAGCATCTGAGTGTGTGGAGCACTCCTAAATGGATGATCGCTGGCCCTCTGTTCAGCATCCAGGCAGAACCGGCCGGGGCCGTGGCAGCCATTCACCTCCCGCACTTCCTGTGTCTCAGAGGTACGGTAGCCAAGGGCAATAACTGAACTTGACACCTTAACGAGAACTGGGAGGTGGAGCCCAAACCATGTGCCCCAGACAGAACTGTTCGCCTCCCTCTTTTCATGTGTTTCAGAGGCAAGGTAGGAAAGTAATAATTGTAATCCCAATCATACCTATCGCAAATATAGGTGTATTAATATTAATTGGCCATTCCTCACAGCTAGAGCGGCAAAATTCTGTGCATTAACCTTTGTAGATTTGGCAACACCAAAAAGTTTCACTAATCTTTGTCCCTCCCCCCCGAATTATTTTTTTTTTGTGCTGGGGGGAGCCCAAAACAAAAAATTATGAAAAAAATTGAAATGATTTATTTTAACATTTTTGAAAATAATTTTTTTTGGTATTTCATGTGGTTTTTTTTGTTTGTTTCCAAATTTCCTTTCATTTTATTTTTAAAAGTTCAAAATCCTTTAAAAATGGTCGAAACTGAAACAAAATGTTTCATTCCATCCGAAACAATTTTTTTTTTACTTTCAAAATTCCAACAAACTAAAATATATGTTTTTCGCCCACCTTTAATCACAATGCATAATCGCTATCATGACGAGGGTCACAGTTGTAACCCTACTATCAGAAATATTACTGCAATCCCAATGGCTATGTTAATCATATTTACAACCATAGTTGCAGTCCTAATCAATCACAATTATAATCAAATAATAATTTTTACTTGAATTTTAATCACACCCATAATTATAATCTTAACTGAAACAACAACTGTAATCAGAATTTTAGTAATTATTGCAATCTGAACGGAAATGACAGCTATAATTACAATTATAGTCATTGCCACAATCTTAATTGAAATTTCAGGCCTGATCACTGTCACAATTGCTGTCTGAATCAGGATTATATTGATCGTTACAATTTTAATTTTTATTGTAACCTATTTACACTGATGGCAACAAATTTGACTAGTACCATGGTTGTGATCATGATCATGAATGTGGTACTGAGCACTATTAATACGGGGCTTTTCATCCATAGATCTTTGAGTCATTTACCAAGGCAGATTGGAGTAGAAATGACTGGACTGTGAGTTTTGATTTAGCCCTGGGAGTGTAGATTCTACAGGGCTCTTCTCCCATTTCAGGGATCTGTACATACGGACCGTGCTACACTGGACAGCAGCTGCTTGGCTGTCCAGGAGTAAATACAAACCCAGGCTAGCAGGAACTAAGGAAGCAGGCTGGGAGCTCCCAGGGAGCGGGGTGAGACCGAGCAGAGGGAAGGGGGGACATTTGGCGCCAGCATCAGAATCCAAGCAGCCCCCAGAGCTGCGTCCGTAGAGGGGGCAGGAATAGGTGTTTGCAGAATTCAGGTGGATACGTGGCCTCTCTGACAGCAAGAAATCACAACAAGCTAATGGAGCATCGTTTGCTTTGTGTCCTATTGACAGGGGCTGACACCTCCCGGATGCAAATCGCCCATTTCATCGAGGAGGGGATGACCCTGGAGAAGCCAATGCAAGTGAGGCCATTCCATGCTGTGCTGGAGAACCCCAGCTTCTCCCTGTATGGAGTGGTCTGGGGGAATCGCTCCAAACCACCAATTCTGATCCACTCCATTGTACTGCTCTACTGGGCACTCAAGATGGCAAAGACGACTCTTCACCTCTACATCATCCCTAACGACCACTCCCGGTTCAAGGTAACTGAGAATCAGCTACAACCTACAAGCGGTGTGAGCCACCCTGTAGCAGAGAGCATGGAATAATTCACAAGGCATGCAACTGGTGTGATAGCTGTGCACTGAAACATGTTTCTAAAGACCAATTTCTGCCACTGTGCATTTCACTCCAACAATTTCCTGCTCTAACACTAGTGTGCTGGCTGACCTTGGGCAAGTCACTTCCCCACTCTGTGCCTCAATTTCCCCGTATTTTTAAAATGGGGATCATGATGTAGACTTCCCTGTGTAATGCACTTTGAGATCTACTGATGAAAACCATTATATAAGAGTTAGGTATTATTTTTAATAATATTTTGTTACGTCACCCAGAAAATGACCTAATAGATTATCAGTGAAAAAATATAAGTTGCTTATGCACCTTCTGTTTTGGTCCCAGATTTATTGTGTTCAGATAACCTTAAACTAGACACTTCAAACTTGGCTTGTTCTGTAGATCTCACTGAGACCGAAGCATCAAGCCGATTTTGAAATAAACCAGTTCAGGAGCTTTAAAAATGATAACTGTCTAATGGCAAATGATGATGAAAAATTAATAAACGTGGACTTCTGGGTTGGTGTTCTTGTTTCAGCAGCCTGGGTTATCCAGGAGTTCTTGCTGATTCTTTGTAGTATAATCTTATAGGTTCAGAAACGGAGTCCCAGGCGTGGTGGAACTTCTGCGTGGACTGTGAGGCTGCTGGTGTCCTCATGGAGAATCTGGAGCTGTATGTTGGCTATGTCTACCTTTCCATGTCCTACTACTTTAATAGTCATGAAATGGCCTAGAGGCCCACAGCCCAGTTCTTGAAGAAGCAGTCCCATGAGCAGGGGGAGCATGCAGAAAAGTTCCTGAAATGCCAGAACAACCAATTGTGCTGCAAGCCATCAAGAAGCCAGAGCAGGGTGAGTGGGGGAAGAGAGTGGAGGCCCTTCATGGTTCGCTGCAGCTGGAGAAGTCTGGGAACATGTCCTGCTACTCCTCAGTGTCTGAATACCCGGATGAGCAAGTGAAGATTATCAGGCGTCAGGGAGACAATCTCATCAACCGGGTGTCAGGCTTCCTGGGAGTACCCTGATTTGTGAGGCATCTCACTACAATGTGCCCTTAGCATGAGGAAGTCTTGTCTGTGCCTGCCAGGGTCAGCTCCCCAATTCCACGAGCAACACAAGCACTGTCTTTCAGGCCTACATGGGCCACACGCTCTCTCTGCAGGTTAGCTACAGGCACACTCCACCCTTCGAGCCCTCCAAGCATTCTCCTGGAATGTCCGGCCCCTGTTCCAATGAAACACTTGCAGTATTCAGATTTGCTGCTCCCAAAGAAGCAGTACGCACCAGCTTACCAGTTCCACCTCAGATCACCGCTCCACTTAATGCACGGCGCTGAGATATGTTCATAGTGAAAACGAGTACAAGTTTATTTAGCAAAGTAGAGAGATTTGAGAAGTATCAAGTAAAAGTATTGGAGACAGATGGTTACATGTGAAGCAAAATCATCACCTGCCTTCTAGAGCCTAGACTTAATTAACAAGATACTTTGCTGTCCGTTGAAGTTTAGCTCACCCAAAGTCTTCGCAGCATTCTCCTGCCAGTTTGGCTGTGACCCTGCTTTTATACGACCAAACACCCTGACCATTCCCCTCCTCAGTGAAGGATCCATGCTGTACCTCTGTACCCCTCTTTATACTCCCAAAATCTGTTGTCTTTACTCGTAAACAGTCTACCCCCCCAGCTGTTTTTTGTTTTTCCCCTCAGCTTTCCTGTCTTGCTGCATTTGCAATTTCTGATTAACATCAGGCTCAGTAATGCACATAGGCCTCCACTGTGAAGCCGACTAGACAGAGAGAGAGAGAAACCTGACATGAGTATGTTTATTACCTTCTGGTGACCTGCCTTAACTCGCATACCTTAAGAAGAGAACTTTCAGTACAGATGCTTAATTCCTGAAGCATTGTCCATGCATACATTGCCTGACGATTATGATGACCAATGGGCTTCTGGCTCTTGGTAAACTAAATAGGCATACATCTGACCCAAAGGATTCCTGGAAAACTCTATGCACCTGCTGTGTCTTCTGCCAGTTGGCACCAAGAGGTTCCCAGGTCACACTTGGGAGTGTTCCAGAATGGCATGGAAGAGCACCTGTTTGGCAAGCACATACTGGAGGAGAGCAGCCGGTCTCTCCGTTAGGAAGTTTTGTCCATCGGAGAGACTATGACACACCAGTAAGCTCTTGTTCCTCTGCATATGGTTTGCTGAGAAAATGATGATCTGCAGTGGGAAATTTCTGATCAGAAAAAGAGGTGTGCCCTGGGGTGGCTGGCCTTTTAAGAGGAGATGGATCTCAGCCCCCTCTCAGCGCCTCTCCCCAAATGGGGAAAATGAAGATACTCATGATGTGGGTCATGTGACTCAAGTAGGCCTCTGGTGTAGGTAAGGTAGTGGCATGGGAGTGAACCAGAGGTTTGTCTGCTGGTGTCTCCAAGCCACAGAGAAGACCAGCCCAGGGAGTGTTTTGGATCTTTTCCTGGGGGCAGCAAAGACTCTAGCTAAAAAGGGCTGGAAGTGGCTGCGCCATGAAGAGCAGAGTTGGGACTGTAATGTGTAAATGTTTAAGCGTGAGGGTATCTAACCCCTGGGACAACTTACCAAGGGCTGTAGTGGATTCTTTCTCACTGGATGGAGAGGGTGATGTTTATCTAAAAGATCTGCTCTCGGTCAAGCAGTGTAGTTGTAGCCATGTTGGTCCCAGGATACTAGAGAGACCAGGCGGGTGAGGTCATATCTTTTGTCCAGTAAAAGATATTACCTCACCCACCTTGTCTGTTCTAGTTCAAACAGGAATGATTTTAGGGCAGTTCTGTGTATTGCAGGCCACAGGAGGTCAGACTAGATGATCAAAGTGATCCCTTGTGGCCTTGGAAGCTATGAATCTGTGCAATAAACCAGCTCCAAGCAGGGGTGTTAGTGGCCACGAGGAAGAAGCAGTGGAGTTCTTGAAGAGAGGGAACTGAAGGTGGGGTGCCTACAGGGCCACCCCGTGCCATGAAGGCATGTTCTGGGGGTGGTGTCCCTGTTCACAAGGGGAAATGAGCTCCTTGGGACAGGGATTGTCTTTGTACAGCACCTGGCACAATGGGGTCCTGGCCCATGTTTGGGGTTCCTGGGTGCTACAATAATACAAATAGTTAATCCTAATAATATATGAAATTAATGGATGCAAACTATTCGCCCAGTTCATTATAAAACTAACCTTTACCCGAGAGGAGTCTGCCCTCTTAATGCAAGATACAGCTTTTCTCGGTGTTAGTTACAAAGACCCTTCTTTCGGAGGGCAGCTGTGTGGGAGGGAAAAGGGAACTTGGCAGCCGCTGTTGTGTTTTCTCTGTGTAGCTCCAATAAAGGATGGTGCTTGTATGTTACAGGCCGTTGATGACTATGAAAAGAAGTGCCCATCAAGGCTGGTGTCGACATCTCTTCAGACCCATAAGCCCCTGACCTTTGATTCTCATTATGTGGTGTCCAGTCAATCAAACATAGAGGTGACACCCAAGGTAAGTGAGATGATCCTCTTTTCTTCCATAGAGGCCGGAAAAACATCCTGGTTCTCTGTCCTGATGGGGAGTGGTTAGAGCGGAGGACTGGGAGTTAAAACTCTTGGATTTTGTTCCTGCACCTAATAGGGGATTATGTTATAACGAGTCAGAATAGGGCGCGCTGTGAGTCAGGACTCCCATCTAGTCCCAGCTGTTGATGATAATTTGTCTAGTCAATTGCTTGACCAGGCTCGGTTCATTATTTCGCTATGAAATATACTCAAGAGACTAAATAAACCACGTCAATCAGGCTTATTAGTATGGTACAGGGAAAAGGCTCTGTACGACCCCAGTCTTCGAGGAGCAGGTCTGTGCAGCGATGTTACGTTCACCTGACACAGAAGATGTGCTCCTCAAAGTTACACATTTCAGCTGGTATTGTTTATATGATCTGACAGGCTACACATCTCTTTAGAGCTCACTAAAGTCCAACCCATCAGTTTGTTCCAGTCCCCTAACTTCTTTTGTTCCTTCCTTTTCTTGGTTTTGGATAGCATTCCAGGTACTGGTCGGTAAAGGTCCTTCCCTAGCTTGTATTAAGACATAAAACAAGGGTATCTTGATCCTGACAAGTTTCCTATCTGTTTGTGCCAAATGCTTACTTCAGCTACTGCAAGGTGTTATGGGCCACGTAGCATAAGTGAACGCGATTATGGTATAGACCAGTTTAGGCTACATCACCGTTGCAATATTTGTGCTAATGTTATTGGTGTGTAATGCATACTAATATATATGGTATGGATAATACATATTATTATGATTTTTTTTTATGCTAGCCAGCATATATTAGTCAACACCGCTCTGGAAGAGGAGTGAGGCCTACTGTTTAGAGCAGGGGAGCCTGAGAGTCAGGACTCCTGGCTTCTTTCCCCAGCCCAGGGGGTAGTAGGGTCTATGGGGTTACAGCAGGGGCCCTGGGAGCCCAGACTTGTGGGTTCTATTGTCAGCTGTGGAAGAGGAGTGGGGTCTAGTGGGTTGGAGAAGGAGATTTGGACTCAGGACCTCTGGGTTCTATTCCCAGCTCTGCCATTGTCTGCTGTGTGGACTTTGTGCCTCAGTTTCCCCAAACACAGGACTGGCTGGAGAATGTTTTTGCAATTTAAAAATCTTCTTTGACCTGCTCTAACAAACATACCTTATCCCCTTTCTGAGCCTTGCTGGCTCAAGAGGGGGTTGCCCTGAATGCAATTCATTTGTTTTCAATCAGGAGCTGAAGTTTTGTAACATCCAAGCAGAGTGTCTGCAGTCGTTTATGGAAATCTACACCAAGGACATTCAGGGGGGACTGGAGTTCAGCTTGGTAGAGAAAATCAACAAGGGGCCCATCTGGGAGGCACATGTGAGACCAGGTAGGCTCAGCTCAGCAGGAGATCACGGCAAGGGGAGAGGTTTGTGCCTGGTGCCCCAATCTACTTCTGCTGATAGCTAGTTCAAAACCTTGGAATAGGATCTTAGTTTTTCACCTTCCTCTGTAGCATGGGGCACGGGTCACTTGCTGGAGGAGTCTCTGCACTTTGAAGTCTTTAAACCAGGATTTGAGGACTTCAATAGCTCAGACATAGGTTAGGGGTTTGTTACAGGAGTGGGTGGGTGAGATTCTGTGGCCTGCGTTGTGCAGGAGGTCAGACTAGACCAGGGGTCTTAAACACGCGGTCCGTGGAGTTATTTTCTGAGGCCCGCCAGCTCCCCGTGGCACCTCCGCCCCCCCAGCCCCCTGCCTCAGGTTCCCCGTTCCTGGCCTATGGGAGCTTCGGGGGAGGTGCCTGGAGGAGTGGCCAGGGCAACACGCAGATCCCTGTGCCCCCGCCCCTCCCTCAGGTCCCGGCCACTTCCCAGAGCAGCGTGGGGCAGGGCAGGCAGGTGGGAGCCTGCCCTGCCCCTGGTGCACGCCGGGCCAGACCCGCCCCCTGAACCCATCCTGCAGCCGAACCCCCTGCCCTGAGCCCCCTGTTGCACCCCACACCCCTCTGGCACCCCGACCCCCTGCCCTGAGCCCCCTGCCGCACTCTGCACCCCTCCTGCACCCCCTGGGGTCAGGGAGGGGACGGAGTTGGGGTGGGGATTTCAGGGAAGGGATTGGAATGGGGGCAGGGAAGAGGTGGGAAGAGGTGGGGCAGGGGCAGGGCCTCACGGAAGGGGTGGAGTGGGGGCAGGGCCAGGGCAGCGGGCGGGTGGGGGTGGTCAGTGGTGCGGCCCTCGGGCCAATGTACTCGTCCTCATGTAGCCCTCATGGTCCTTTGAGTTTGAGACCCCTAGACTAGATGATCATAATGGTCCCTTCTGAACTTAAAGTCTATGATTCTTTGGATCCATCTCCTGTCTGACTTCCCATTTTTCTCTCTCTCTTCCAGAGGATGTGACGCTTTCTGTGTCATCTGCCCAAACTCAAACAGGTCAGTAGAAATGTACTCCAGCTCCAGTACCTGGAGAGAGTCCAGGGAAGGGCAACAAAAATGATTAGGGGTCTGGAACACATGAGTTATGAGGAGAGGCTGAGGGAACTGGGATTGTTTAGTCTGCAGAAGAGAAGAATGAGGGGGGATTTGATAGCTGCTTTCAACTACCTGAAAGGGGGTTCCAAAGAGGATGGCTCTAGACTGTTCTCAGTGGTAGCAGATGACAGAACAAGGAGTAATGGTCTCAAGTTGCAGTGGGGGAGGTTTAGGTTGGATATTAGGAAAAACTTTTTCACTAGGAGGGTGGTGAAACACTGGAATGCGTTGCCTAGGGAGGTGGTGGAATCTCCTTCCTTAGAAGTTTTTAAGGTCAGGCTTGACAAAGCCCTGGCTGGGATGATTTAATTGGGTATGGGTCCTGCTTTTGAGCAGGGGGTTGGACTAGATGACCTCCTGAGGTCCCTTCCAACCCTGATATTCTATGATTCTATGATTCTATACCTACGGCCATTTCTTCCCTCAGACAGAGCCCTCCAGTGAGAAGACCAGAAAACGGAGCGTTAAACCCCATCTAGTCCGTGGGTTGTGTGGCATAAATGTGCAGCTGTTAAACAGCTGTCAAGATCCACAAGAGAGGTGGCTACACTTCAGTGCTGGAAGAGGCATCTCTGCTCAGTGCTGCTATGTGGCTACCAACTGTTGCACCCCACTCTAGAAATGGCTGCATGTTAGCACTGGGTGAGAGGTCCCTCTGTATCTAGCTGCAAGACTAAATAAGGTGACATTCATTTGGGAAATGTAAGATTATTAAAAGACAGCATGATAAACCTCAGTTCCTTCTCTCTCTCCCCTTCCTAGATGAGCATTTTGTCAACCAGCACCGAGAACAGTTGATCCAGCGAGTGATGGCAGTGGATAGCATCCTGGATTCGTTGTATGGCCCCGTTCTGGACCTGGAGCAAATCCAGAGCATCAGAGCAGAGAGATCCAGCGTGGAGAAGATGAGGAAGCTGTACGAGCTAGTGCCTAAATGGGACAAGGACTGCAAGGACCGGCTCTACCAGGCACTGAAGGAGAAGCACAGACCTCTAGTGGAAGAGCTTGAGGGGATATAGATTGTCCCTTGGGGGCAGCAACCTTCTAGTGCGGGGACAGGATGTGGTTGAAGATCTCCTCCCAATTCCAAATGACCAGCCCAACAGCCAGAGTCCATCACCCGGCTGACTCTGTTACGGGTTAAGGTCCTCTGCTTCTTAACACACCCAGCTTATTGTGCTAAGGTGAATATTTGTCTCATGATGAGAACAGCTAGGGTGTGGGAGCTGGGATTCCTGGATAGCGTTCCCGGCTCTGGAAGGCGAGTGGGGTTGAATGTTTGGTGAGGGGGCAGGGCTGGGAGTCAGGTTGCCTGGGTTCTATTTCCTGAGCCGAACTCGGGGGAGTGAATTCCAAAGTCAAGGTTCCCTCATGGAAAATGCTCCGCTGGCTACTCACTTATTTAGTCTCCACTTCTTCAGCTGTCTGGTCTGCTGTGCTTCGGAGTCACCTTTGAGACTTCCACGGGGGTCTGCGTAGGCAAAAGTATCCACCCGGACAGATCCAACTACCAAAGAACTCAAGTGCATTCATTGATCGCAGGGTAATGTACAGAAATGATATTAAATCTCTCCTGTGGGGCGGGTGTGCTGAGAATCAGACCCCCAGTTTGGGGAGACTAAAGTCCTCTAAGGTCCCCAGTTATTTCCAGTGGTCTGTAGCTAAGGAAATGTGAGTGAGCCATTTCTGATGCCACCTTTGCTGCTGTCAACTAGAATGACTAGTACTTTGCATCGACCCTCCCAGCTGGAATATCAGTACTTTGCACTGACTGAACACCTGGAGTCCAAAGGACTCCCTGTGCTTTTGCAGTTTTGTATCCAGAGAGTGGAAAACCCAATCTATGTAAGTGCCAAGGGGGTCTGAACTGATTGAACAAACTTTCCAGACAACAAGCCTCTCTCTCAAAGGTGTCACATTAGCACTGGGGGACTGGAGGCCTCATGGTACTGCAAATAGAGTAGAGCGAATGATGGATTTTCTGGCTTGGGGGCTGAACCAAAAAATCCAAACAAAAAAAAAACCTGTTCGATTTGAACAGAAAACAGTTTCTTTCCTTCTGTTGTTGAATAGAAAATAATTAATTTAGAAGCGGCCGAAACATTATGAGTCAACGTGAAATCATTTTTGTTTGTTTTAGTCTATTCAGCTATTTCAGGTGTTTTCCATGTTGGTTTTGATTTGGTCAAATTTGAAATCAGAACACCTGTTTCTGTTTCAAAAAGTCTAATCAATTTTTTTTCCAACCGAAACTATTCATCGAATTTGACGGGGGTATAGGGCTTTTCTTCCCATGGCCAATAATCTTTCTCACCTGAGCAATCACACTGACATCAACCGCTCGTTTTTTCCAACTTCCACATTCTTGGAAGGCAAAAGTTGGGCACCCTGGAGCATCAACAATCTCAACACCATCCTTAGCAGTATATATTTGTCTGGTGAAATCGATGCCTGGGCTGGATGGCATGTAGTGAATGAGATGGGAATTTCATGGATCATCAACGTTAAGGCCAGGAGAGACCATTGTGATCATGTAGTCTGACTTGTGTGTTCACAGGCTGGTGGTTTGCCTCTGGTGACAAGAAGTATAAGGTCCATTGTTTTCAATGAATGGCTTATGTATGATTGTGTTCTACTCCAGGGAAAAGTGCTATCCCAGCTCCTCCAGGAACTAAAATCAGTGGTTGTTGATTAAGGCAAGCCAGCCAGGTTGTAACCCCACCCACAAGGTTCCACCTCGCAGGGGAGGCTCACAAGTACTGGTTCAAATAGGTTCTCCGGAGACCAACAGACAAAGAAAGGGCTTTTGGATAAATAGCCTGAGTTTAAACAGACTCAGGGCCTTCTTCCTGATCCAGCAAACAGACAGGACCTTCTGTCCAAGCCAGACTCCAGTCCTTGCAGAAGGGTTGGAAGGGCTTGATCTGCTAGGGCCCCATAAAACAGATGGGTGGCCTCTGGTAAGCTTTTAGTGTGCGTGTAGGTTCTTGTATTGTTTTGATATGTTTTCTCTGTAATGTTTTCACCTTAAGAATAAATGTGGTCGCTCAGAAAGAGCAGTGTGATAACATAACTGCGGGCAATGCATGGGCGTAGCCTCCGGAGAGATAGCAAAGCGTGGACACTGGCCTTTTAAGCAGTGTGCTTGCTGGGAATAGCCTGAACACCCTGATCAGGGTGGGGTGATGGTGGGCGGGGAGAGGAAGACATGGGTCTCTGCCCAAAAGAGATGATGGTGGGGGCCTAGAGTGGATGCCCTTGGTGGACCATGAGGGGGTAGCAGAGGTGCAGGTGCCCTGAACTGTAAAACAGGGGATTTAGGATTATCTCAGGTACCACCTGGTACCATCTCAGTGATTCTGGCTTCCACAGTACAGATGGCACTGGTGCAGATCATCATGGTGCCCGCGATCTTGGTACCACCCAATCCCATACTGATAAACAACAGGGCCAATCTTGTTAATGCATAGGGCTCCAGGAGAGGACCTTGCCACCTGGGATCTCTCTCTTCAGTGCTGGAGGCCCCTCTATTCACTTCTACTAAAGTGCTCCCATCGGTACTGACCCGAATACCTTCTTCTCTGCCAGCATTGCGAAGAACTCACTCCATTCAGGCTCCACGTTCTCCTACAGGGACAGCTCCACCGTTTCATGAGGAATATTCCTTTCCCTTCATGTTGTCTCCCTTGTGCACGGGAGGAGCTCCCCATAGACACTCACAAACCTACCTCATTATCCTCCTTCAAAACCCTCCTTAAAACTCTCCTTTGTCATGATGCTTACATAAAACTTGACAGCGGCTAGGCTGCTGTGCTCAAGTCGCTCCCCATAACACTTTCCAGTATTTCTCCAGGATTGTTTCCTTGTACTTCCCTATCTGTCTGTCGGTATCCACCTGTTGTCTCTTGTCTTGTACTTTAGATCACAAGCTCTTTGGGGGCAGGGACTGTCTTTCTGTTCTGTTTGTACAGCAATGGACCATGACTGGGGCTATCAGACAGTGGGTAATACAAACAGTAAATTATGATCCGAATGTCCACACTTTGCCTCTCAGTCTGGCTTCTCAGACGTACTCCCAGAATGTTGACTCCCTGTCTAGTCCCCCTTTTCTTGGGATGGTGGGCCCAGATACTCTAGGCCCCCAGAGCAGTGCTGACCCCCCAAGTCCCCCAGTAGTTTAAGCTAGGTCAGAAGAGGCCATGGGATCATATAGTCAGATTTTTTTAGAACAAACATCCAATCTTGTTTTAAGAGTGGAGAATCCACCATGATAGTTGGTAAATTGTTCCAATGGCTAATTACTCTCAATGTTTAAAATGTACACCTTATTTCCTTCTGAATTCGTCTAGTTTCAGCTTCCAGCCACTGGATCATGTTAGACTTTTCTCTGCTAGATTGAAGAGCCCGTTATTAAATATTTGTTACCCATGTGGGTGTGACGGGTTCGGTCACAGAGACCCCCTTGGGACTGTCAGCTGATGTGCTGAAACTACCTCTGAGCCCATTTTCCCTGTCAGCTTGGGACTCCAGGACCCTGTCTTGTGGAGCCAGACATGCAAGCCTGCTGCAACACAGACCCAGGGTCTGAACCACATCTCCAAAGCTTCAGGCTTTTACTGAAAACCACTCAGCAGGTACTCCTGTCTCCAGCACTCAGACACCCAGCTCCCAATGGGATCCAAACCCCAAATAAATCTGTTTTACTCTGTATAAAGCTTATACAGGGTAAGCTCATAAATTGTCTGCCCTCTATAACACTGATAGAGAGAGATGCACAGCTGTTTGCTCCCTCAGGGATTAATCACTTACTCTGGGTTAATTAATAAACAAAAGTGATTTTATTAAGCATAAAAAGTAGGATTTAAGTGGTTCCAAGTAATAACAGACAGAACAAAGTAAGTTACCAAACAAAATAAAACAAAACACGCAAGTCTAAGCCTAATACATTTAAGAAACTGAATACAGGTAAATCTCACCCTCAGAGTTGTTCCAATAAGCTTCTTTCACAGACTAGACTCCTTCTTAGTCTGGGCCCAGTCCTTTCCCCTGGTACAGTTCTTGTCAGTTCCAGCTCAGGTGGTAACTAGGGGTTTCTCATGACTGGCAGCCCCCCCTCCCCGTTCTGCTCCACCCCTTTTATAGCTTTGGCCAAAGGCGGGAATCCTTTGTCTCTCTGGGTTTCCACCCCTCCTCCTAAATGGAAAAGCACCAGGTTTAAGATGGATTTCAGTATCAGGTGACATGGTCACATGTCACTGTAAGACCTCATTTTTCATTACCCACAGGCTGGCCCCCAGGTCCACACGAAGGCTTGCAGGTAAATAAATCATCTACAACCAATTGTCCTAGTCAATGGGAGCCATCAAGATTCTAAACCACCATTAATGATCTAAACTTTGCATAATTGCATAGGACTTCAGAGTAATACTTCATATTTCTAGCTTTAGATAAAAGAATGATACATACATACAAATAGGATAAACACACTCAGTAGATTATAAACTTTGTAATGATACCTTACAAGACACCTTTTGCATGAAGCATATTCCAGTTACATTATATTCACGCTCATTAGCATATTTCCATAAAACATATGGAATTCAACATCACAGTAAGTACTTATAGACGGTAATCAAGTCAGCCTTAACCTTCTGTTTGTTAAGCTAAATAGATTGAGCTGCTTGAGTGTCACAGTATAAGACAGGTTTTCTAATTTGTTAATCATTCTTGTGGCTCTTCTCTGATCCCCCCAATTTTTCAATATTCTTTTTGAACTGTGAACACCAGAAGTGGACACAGGATTCCAGTGGCAGTCACATCAGTGCCAAATACAGAGGTAAAGTAACCTCTCTGCTCCTACTCGAGTAGAAAAGTTCCTGGAGACTCATTCTGGGTTGATCTAAAAACACTATTTTTTGAAAATTTTGGCAAATCAAAAAGTTAAAACATTTTTGGGGGTTGAATGAAACATTTAATTCAAAACAAAATCTTTCATTTTGATTTTAAGCTCCCCCTTCTCTTTTTAAGTATTTCCTTTTCAAAATAAGGATGGGGGTAGGAATGACTGAAAGGGTTTTAACACCACTCATCCAGTTTGTTAAACATCCACCCAGTCAACCAGATCCAGTCCACTTGTATGTGTGTAAGCTGCTCCTGGTATAATTTTACTGACTGTAAAATTCAATCAAAGATTTCCTTTAATAAAAAAATACATGTCCAGCCTTCCTGATCATGAAGCAACTCCTCCCAGTCTGACTCGAGTGTGGCTGATACACTGATGGCTACCTGAGTCATAGATGTTTAGGGCCAGAAGGGACTATTAAATCATGCAGTCTGATTTCCTGAATAACACAGGGCAGATCATTTCAGCCAGTTACTTCTGTATGGACCCTAAAAACTTGCATTTTATGTTTGCAGACTGAGTGGAACAGTGACTGAGATGTGTCAGCTGCTTTGCCCCCATCAATCATAGAAATGCAGGGCTGGAAAGGACCCTGAGAGGTCTTCTAGTCCAGTCCAGCCCCCTGTACTGCAGCAGGACCAAGTAAACCCAGCACATCCCTGACAGGTGTTTGTCCAACCTATTCTTAAAAAGCTCCAGTGATGGGGATTCCACAACCTCCCGATGTAACCTGTGCCAGTGCTTACCTATCCTCCGTGTAAGAAAGGTTTCAGAGGAGCAGCCGTGTTAGTCTGTATTCGCAAAAAGAAAAGGAGGACTTGTGGCACCTTAGAGACTAACCAATTTATTTGAGCATAAGCTTTTGTGAGCTACAGCTCACTTCATCGGATGCATCTGATGAAGTGAGCTGTAGCTCACGAAAGCTTATGCTCAAATAAATTGGTTAGTCTCTAAGGTGCCACAAGTCCTTTTCTTTTAGTGTAAGAAAGTTTTTCCTAACATCTAACCTAAGTCTCTCTTGCTGCAGATTAAGTCAATTACTTCTTGTCCTACACTCAGTTGACCTGGAGAACGACTGATCATCGTCCTCTTTAACAACCTTTTAAAAACTGTTATCATGCCCCCTGCCTTCTCTTCTCTAGACTAAACGGGCCCAATTCTTTCAACCTTTCCCCACAGGTCAGGTTTTCTAGGGCCTGGTTTACATTTCAAATTTAGGTTGATGTAGCCACGGCACTCAGGGTGTGAAAAATCTATACCCATGAGCTCTGTATCTATGCCAACTTAATCCCCAGGTGTGGTCACAGCTAGGTGTACAGAAAAATGTATCCGTCAACTTAGCTACCATTGATCAGGGAGAGGGTGTTCCTACACCCAGGGAAAAATGCCTTCCATCGCTGTTGGCTGCATCTACACTAGGGAGTTATGCTTGCATAGCTATGCCGATACAGTAGACATGGCCTGAAACTCTTATTTCAGTTGCTCTCCTCTGGACTATCTCTCCAATCTGTCCACATCTTTCTTGAAGTGCGGCACCCAGAACTGGACACAATACTCCAGCTGAGGCCTCACCAGCCCCAAGTAGAGCAGAACATTTATCCCTGTGCCTCATTGGAGTGCGGGTTTGGACGTTTACTGATGACCCTTCAAAGAGGCCAGGAGCAGAGCCCTTGGCTGGTGGGAATCAGGAGTGGCTGCCGGTGAGACAGAGGCAGAGATTCAGAACAAGTGAAGATGGAGAAAACAGAGAGAGGAGGATGGGGAAGGAAGAGAAACAAGAGGCAGGAATAAGGGAGTCGATTTCCCCACTGAGCGACACTGAATGTGATAGGTTTCAGAGGAACAGCCGTGTTAGTCTGTATTCGCAAAAAGAAAAGGAGTACTTGTGGCACCTTAGAGACTAACCAATTTATTTGAGCATGAGCTTTCGTAAGTGAGCTGTGGCTCACGAAAGCTCATGCTCAAATAAATTGGTTAGTCTCTAAGGTGCCACAAGTACTCCTTTTCTTTTTACTGAATGTGATAAGTCACCTTGAAAACAATCAGTGATACTAACCAAAACATTAGAGGCTACATGCAGGCCAGAGTCTCCTTGTGGTCTCTGTGCACACCTGCACCTGACTCCAGGAGGAGCTCTGCTGTGAGCAGAG